TTACCAGCTATCATAGGTATGATGCTAAGCCAAAAATAATGCTTTTAGAGAATGCTAAGCTTATATCATTTAAAGGTGACATTTAGGTTATGTTTCAGATACGTAAAGTATGGGAACCTAAGATAATTTGTGCTGTACAAGCAAGGTTCATATAAATCTGTTGCTTTAATGAAAAATATTATTCTTTATTCAGAAGTGGATGTAGTAATTTCTTTATACGGAAGATTCAAGTGTGAATGTGATATTGCAGATCTAGGAATGCCTGAAGCAGTACATGGGACACTGGTGCTTTTAATTTTTGATGAACTGATCTCAAGGATGTTCTCTCAGCCATAATCATCTTTACAACTTGATATGTTGCCTCCTCTGGGTAGGTACGTGATTCTTTACTAGTGTAGATGTATGCTGTCATAAGGAGTGCAAGTAACAACACGTGCAGGCAATCCTACTCCTCCAGGACACTGAGCAAGATGAAGGTGTAGTGTACTTTCTTGTCAAGTCTTGGGACTCACATTAATTGGAGATGCCTAGGAAAGGAACAATGAGGAGCATATATGTAGCATCTCACGTTTTACTTGCTTGAGTTCTGAAGTCTGCTTAAGAAACGCATGGTTAAACTCTAAAAAACAGTTCTCCGTTGGCCAAAGTACAGCTTATCTCGTAACGTGACATAAATAAGAAAGTTGTTGAAAAATGAGAATTATGCAGCACATGATGTGGGCACGTTTTCTGGGTTCAGTAGTTACCACCTGAATGTGCCTCCTCCGATCCTCCAACCAGTTGTGAGATTGGCACAGGGAGAGTGCTTGTAGCCTTTACCACAACTGTAAACAGCATTCTTGTGTCAATAGCTTTCACAGCCCTCTTGAGGGACACGCAAATGTTCCAGTGATCATAAACCTCCTGATACACTGAATGCCTGGACTTGGCTCTTGAGGAAATATCTTTAGACTTTCCTTGTTCCCTCTTATGTGTCCCCAGTTAATATCATTCAAAGGATATTAAACCGAATATAGCAAATATCTAAAGATTACAAATGGTCATTTTACTAGCGCAGTCCCAAGCATTGGACAATGCACACATATATCATCTTTATAGGATTACATTACTGTTGGTTTGCTAGAATGTATAGAGCCCTCAGACTTGGATGGAGGTCCCCCTGTGTAATAGGAGTGATGCAGAATGATGTAAACAGGTCACAGCATGGTCCCTGACTTGAAGAATGAATCATTCAATTACAAAGAGAGATGCCAGCTGGTTAAAAACAGGCAGGAAAGTGCAAAGAGTTGTTTATCTGCCTCTCAGGCAATAGGTAAAAGCAATAAGCCTACAGAAGTAACTCCAAGCAGTAGAACAGCTTATCTATTCACCTGATCGTTATCTTTGCAGTCTTTAATTAGAAGAACTATGTGCAGAGCTTTGAAAAGATAATATGTTAGCCACTGTTACTTGTAGTTGGAGCCGTTGCATTCATGAGGATAAGCATAAAGAGAAACCAAGGTGAAAATTTCACTTTTCTGGTTCAGGATCTCAGTAACTGGAAGGCATTGCAGCAGGAACTGAGGGAATTAGCACAGCAGGCAACTTGTTCACTATTGCACATATACTACAGAAAATACACGAACTAGGAATTTTAGGGGAAAATGAGCTCACCTGATAGCAGGGTGAGAGGGTTTGTTTCCTGCAGTCACTAGGCAAAGAGATCTGCTGGCATAGCAGTCTCCTTGATATGACCGACTGACTGCTAGAAATTGGTTACTCTGGGCTGTTTAATTCCTTAGCGAAAAGAAATGGGGAGAAAAAAAGTGAGTGGTGTAATTAATGCAGTTCCAAGACTGTATCCACATAGCTGTGCTGTTTGCAAGGTTGGAAGCACAGACCCTAGCAGTGCAATTCCTGTAGGATTGGGCAGAGCTGCGGTGTTCCCCATGTGCTGGCCCCAGCCAGGGCTTTGGCATCCAGCAGAAAGGCTACTCAGCCTGAAGGTTTGTCAGAGGCTGTAGCCCTCTCCCCACTGGTGATCAGATTATTTTAGTACTAGGGCTGTAGCTAGCTAAGATTTATGCTTTTGAATGTATCCTGTTTCCTCCTCTGCTTTGTATAGGTGGCTTCTTACATATATCTCACCTTTACCTAATTCCAAGTTGCTGTTCTCCTTTGCCTTTTTAGTGTGTTTGCTTACTGGGTTGAGTTTCTTCTCCAGGGAATCTGTGCTCTAGAGGGTGAAGCTGGAATCACAAAGCACTCGAAGAAATCCCTTTAAGCATGATAATGATACCAGGAGATGTTTTTTTGCATGTTTGCAAAAATCCTCCCTGCCAAAGATGATCCCCTCCAGCAGATGGGGCATAAATTATGATTTGATTTGTAAATTCTTGTTGCCGTACAAACAACTTTGGTAATGCAGACAAACAGATTTCTTCCTTTCTTGACAGTGTGATGGTGTCTGGCATTTCAGGGCTACCAAAGCTTTGTTGTCTCTTTACTGTATTCTGTTGTTTATGATAGTATCTACTTCTGCGTCTGTCTTCATATTACTCTTCTGTCTCAAATAATGGTGCTACTTTTGTTCCTTCTTCAGGTGGTTATATTTTTTTTCCTTTGTTGCTGCGAGTTCTTTACAGTGGTTTCTCATTATTTGACTGTGTGATTTTATTCTTAAATGGGCATTGAAAGATAATTCTTTCCTGTTTTGGGGACTTCCAGCAAAGTGAAACTTCCCCATCCACCAGTGAGGCAATGACTCATTTATCCTCTATGATAATTGGACATATTTTGTGTTAATGGGGTTCAAAAGTTTATGAAGCAATTTTTTATGCCTCTGTTTGCTGTGGAAATCTACAGACAGGTTAAAAAATATAACATAATTACATCCCTACAGTATCTAGCAGCACATAAACCACAGAAATACCTGAAAAATTTTCAGTTCTAAACCTAAATGCTAGTGGCCTCAAATACAGAATCTCAGATGTCTTTTATACCTGCCAGTTACTACGTGCAAAATACAAGATTTTTTTTTTTCCTGCTCCCTTGCAAGTAATTTGAATGCACACCCATCTTCCCTCCCTGGTGCCATTAACCAGAAAGATTTGCAGGCTTGTCCTTTTTTGTGAACTCGGGACAACCACATATATACCTAGTGTAGTACAATTTGGGGAAAATTCTATTCCAGCAAAAGATTACAGCTGATTTATTCATTTGCTTCTGACAAAGATTCAGTGCAAAAGGTCTAGTTGTGGATGTTCATCTCTCCTTTCTACTCTCTCTCCAATCTGATGAAAATAATGCAGATCTACTAGGAGAACTAGGAACTGTTTGTTCCATGAGCTGATAGATTTTTCACAGGAAGGGCACACATGCAAATAGGGCCCAAAAATCATCACCATCCATCAGTTACTGAGAAATTAGATTATGTTTCCTGTCCCCTTTTTAACAGAAAAATGCATGTCTCGCAATATCTGCTGTCACATTCAGAGCCTGTGAATAAATAATAATACATGTGACATCTCAGTCATGTTATTGATGATCCCAATTTTTGGTATTGATAGGAGCTAGTAACGCTATTTGGAGCTTGAGTTCTAGCTCAGTTGTGCCTCTTCTGTGGCAGAAAAGAGATGATCCTGCTTCCTTTAGAAGCTCTTGTTCACTTCTTTCATTTTTTCTTTTTCTTTTTAACTTCCATAAGGGTATGCATATACTACATATGTTAGAATATTACATTTTCCACTTAGATGTCTGCCTTTTCTTAACTTGTGTGCTGTGTCTGTGCTAATATTCTTTCATTCTTCTATACATCAGATAGCTGACAGCTTTATTTTCTTCAAGCTTGTATTAACATGCAGTATAGCCAAGCCTGTTACCTCTCTCCTTGTAGCAATACAATCCCAAAGCAATGGCAGTTCATTTTCTGTAGAAAAGACAATGATATCTGTCTGTTGAGATATTTCACCAGTATATGATCTTCATTACTTGCTGCATTTATGTCAACGTATGTGGCCTTGCAAATATGTTTTGCCTTTAAAATAAAACAAAAACCTCATTCAGCTTTCTTGTCACTATATCCACATTCATGCACATGCTATAAACTGATTGGTCCATGAAGGAAAAATATGTAAATAGAATAGTTCTTTAAAGTGTTTGTGCGCTTGATTAAAACACAAGTAAGACAGAAACCTGATTTCTTGCAATTCCTTTCCTTTGACTGAAGTAATAAAATCTACACTACTGTTTCTTCTCTTGCATGCATATTTCTTTACCAAGCTTATAGCCTGCCATTTTTAAAGCTACTATGTGGCTGATGGTTTCCCCATGGTCACCCTGCTCCCCAGAGGGATCCACAAGTACCTCACTTACTTCTGCCTCGTGCTGCCTTTAATAGACAGCTAATCTGCTTGGCCCACAAACAGCAGCCTCTGATGCCTCCACGTTGACCAGTTGGTAAACAGAGCCTCCTGCTTAGACACAGGCTGCCACAGTGCTTTACTTCAGTGTAAGTGTGCTTGGCCTACTGGGCAGCTGCTTTCTGATGTTCTCTCCAATCAGTTGTCAACTATGGAAAATGAAGAGTCCTGTGGCAAATCCCAGAAGAAAAGGAGAGCATCTCTACAGCCAGAATATTCAAAAGGTTCTGGAAATACTTCTGAAAAGGGAAGGTCCGTTTCTCACTGGAGTCTTTGACACATTAAGCTTCTTAACGTGAGGAAAATGAAAGTTTCTATATTTACTTCAAAACTGAAAAGGGCTTTGTATATCTAGCCTGTCATCAACAGACCATTATCTCTGATCTGAGCTTTACCTCATTCTTTTCAGCTCCGTTACTCAGAGCCATTATCTTTGAGGCTAGGCATGGCTTTGAGCATTGATTCAGAATTCAGAAATATCCATCCTCATCTAGCTCTTGTACTCTGCATTGCTAGTTCACAGTATTTAGATTAAAAAGAATTCTGTTGTTTTTAATGCTATATTTATCAGTAATTGCAGCTTTGCTTGTTTCTGTTTAGATGAGAGTCCTTACACAAAGTCTGCAAACCAGACAAGGACACCTGATGGAGCACTGTCTGTGAGGAGACAGAGTATTCCAGGTAAGACTTGCTTTGCTTTTTATAACATGCGGTTTGTGAACAACAAGGTAATACTGATCAAAATTAAACTCGTTATAAAAAGCAAATAAAGTAGAGGTGCCAACAAGTAATTTGTAAGGAAGATTCCACTGGAACTGTAAGGAGTTTACACAGTTAGATTCCATGGGGCTTTCAGTATGAGGAACATCTCTGCATCTGCTTTTGCAGCAGATTTCACATGTTGATCACAACAGCCCTTTCATCAGAAGCCCTGAGAAATCTGTTCTTTTATATGTCTTCAGTGGTGTAGGGAGTTTGGCTCATATTTCCAATCCTGAATGCTGTCAGAAGTCACATCTGTGTGTGGTTTTCTGCCATACATACATCATCCTTGAGGATTCTGTCATCCAGTCACACAGAGCTGAACCCAACTGATCAATGGGATATTCAAACCTCTGTGTCTTATAGTTGCTTCAAATGAGTCTGCACAATGTGCCCATGAACAGCAATATTATATATACTGTGCAGCAATGTAAGGGAGTTTTCACCTCAAGTAAAATTTAGGGATCAGCTAATGAAAACAAATGAACACTGACAAAGGTTGCTCACAGGCAGAATAACTGATGTTGCCATTCTCACCTCAAGAACAGTAACCTCTGAATGGAAGGGAAGACGTATGGCAGCAGAGATCAGAAACCATAAGGTCATGTCGCCCACCTTCTAATGAATAATCATCATATTCTGTGCACTCTGTGGCCTTATTATTGAACAAAGTCACACATCCTTTTCAGAAGTTATAGATACAAGGAATGGAGCTCAGACTTCTGTCATTGCCAGTCTCAGATCTCATCACAGTAACTGAATTGTTTCTGAAGGGCTAAAGTACAGATTGTATCAGTGCCCTGTGTGCAAATGTATGTATGTGTATGTGAGTGAGAGAGTTAGAGAGTTTGATGATTTACTGTTGTTCAAAATGAATATTTTTGACTGCTTAAAATATCCTTGTGATTTAAAGATTGTTATTTTCACAATCCAATCATGAAAATCAAAATTGTGAGAAAAATCTACTGCAGTGTTCAGTGTGCATTCATTGTTTTGAGGATTATACAAACACCAACCAGATTTCTTTCTCCAAGTCAGTACAAATGAAGATTCACTGTTCAGTGAATTAAGCTGTCTATGAATATCTCTTCAGATAATTCTGTAGCTCACGTGTCACTAATACTTAGCATACTAAATCTCTTCTTTAAAGAAAATAATAATCTTGTTAATTTTTTCATCTTGAACATAGTAGCTGACATTTATGTGTGGTTACTGTATTTATAGGTTACTTATGCTGTGGTATGAATACAAACTGAAGTTCATGGTTTTAGATAACAGAGAACTGAAGATTTTCAGTCATATTCTTAGAAGAAAAGGTTTGATAAAAGTTGAATGGGTTGAATTTTTCTTTAGGACATTTGATAAGAGTAGGAATGTCTAATGCTCTGTAGTCGTTGTGACCATTTATTTTGAATTCTTAGAAAATTAACTGCATGTTCTGGAATTTTAGTATATATGTGTATAAAAGAAGGCTCTGAGGAGACCTTATAGCGGCCTCCTCGTACCTGAAGGAGGCCTGCAGGAAAGCCAGGATGGGACTTTTTATAAGGGCAGATAGCAACAGAATGAGGGCAAATGGTTTTAATTTGGAAGACGGTAGATTTAGACTAGATATCAGGAAGAAATTCTTTACTGTGAAGATGGTGAGACACTGGAACAGGTTGCCCAGAGAGCTTGTGGATGCCCTCTCCCTGGAAGCACTCAGGGCCAGGCTGGATGGGGCTGTGAGCAACCTGCTCTAGAGGGAGGTGTGCCTGCCTGTAGCAGAGGGTAAGAGGATCTTAAAGGACTCTTCCAACCCAAACCATTCTATGATTCTGTGTTTGCTGTGTGTGAGTCAGTTACTTCAGAGAGACAGCACTGACAAGTGCTTGGTGAGATATAGTGTTTGTCATTTTGTGTGTTCTTCTGTGTGTTCTTCACTTTTCAGTGTTGTGAAGACATTTATCTTCACACCTTGTTGCAACTCCCTGCCTTAGGAGCCCAAAGTATAAATGACATTGAGCTGATGCAATAGTGAATAATAATAATAATAATTTTCATGCCTTGACAAATTGCTGTTCTAGCACAAGGAATATTGTGAATTTAGGTGCATTAATACCTTTATAAAACTAAGCAACATTTTTGAAATAACCAACATTTAGGAGTTTTAACTGAAGTTTCTGGAAACATCCCCTGAACTTTTATATCCCTTTTGACACTTAGAAAATTTGGCCTTCTAAATAGCATCCAGTGTTACTTGTCTGTGGGCAGGTTATTCACATTGTTGGTTCTCTTGCCACAGATGCAGACACATCCCAGCAAAGCATTTTGGTAGCAGGAGGACTACCAGTTGCATTCCCTAGTAACACTAGGTTGCAGCTGCTTTTGGTTTTGCTTGGGGTCAGGATCTGACTTCTGACAGTATGTAGGTCAGCTCTAAACAACTTTGGAAAGGGAAGGTGCAATATGATGACTCTGGTAAATTCTTCTAAACTTGGATGGAGAGATGTCAGCAGGAGTTAATGTCAGTAACCCTTCCACGGAGGGTGTATGGCCATGTGGAAAGCATTGGGTGCTATTTCCTCCAGACATATGCCTGATACAATATTATAATCCCAAGGTGTTTTTTTTCAAGCTTGAGACCTGGCAGTACCTTTGACAACATAGCTGTCCAAGCCACTTGACGCTCTGTCATTCCTGAGACATGGACTGCAGATGTCCTATCCTATTCCCAAGGAAAGTTCTGGCCATTACAGCCAGGAGAAATCTTTTTTTTTTCTTGTCTTCTTTTAAAGAAAGGTAAATGATCCTATCCTTTGCTTTGCACACATTTAAATAGTCTGTGAAAAGATGCAAGTAAATACATATTTCCAGGATACATGATCTAAATCTTCCAGTGTAGCACGAGATTGTGACGTCTCCCTGTGCCTGTTGAAGGTTCCTTCTTGTAACATTCATATTCACTTAAGGGGATTCCAGTGCTCCTTTCTTTGGCCAGTTATGTAAAAAAAAAAAGACCTTTCATCACTGTGGGGTGTGAAACTGCTGTATCAATTGTAAACCCCAAAATGTTGTTTTTATCCTTTCCCATTTAACTGTATTGAAAGTGCAGTGTTGATGAGCAAAGACCAAATGCACAAAGAAGTACTGTAATTCTGTAGAGGTTACATGGATCTCAGACTTGGTTTATTTTACAGGAAAAAAAAGGTTGAAATAATCATTTTATAATTAAAGTCAAATGAGCACAAACTGTGAAATCAGTGCACTGAGTTTAATTCCTTTCATCCCCAGAAGCAGGGAATGGATTAAGCTTCTCTCTGGAGCAGAACTGGCTCACTTAAGATGCAGAATACATTATTCATGTGATGAGGGCACATGTCATATTTATCATGTCTTCACATGGCACAAAATCAACAAGCAGCAGATCCATTCAAAGGGATTTACAGAATTGATGAAATTATAGTTAATTTAAATTATGGGCATTCATATAATTGCAGTTTGAGGCCTGAACTTAATCTTGCAGATGTGTAGGTGTTGTAATTATATATAAATGATTGTTAAAAATGTTTTAGTTTTGCCATCAGGATTTCTTAATTGTAAAAGGAAGGCTTAAGTTAGCATCAACATGACGAGCAGTCTTGTGCAAAATAAGAAACAAATGTATTTTTTTCTCTGAACCTTGAAATTTAGACTTAACTGGTGTGCATAGGGTTGTCTGAAAGCTCCCATTTATTTCCATGGAAACTACAATGATACAAAGAGCATGATAACACTATTTGATAGAGCAAATTCTCAGGCACAAAATGCTATTTTTCAATGTTGTCATTGTCATTAATTTCAGAGCAGCCCTCATATAATGAACCCCTGTTGTTACTCTGCCCACATAGTAGACTACAGAGGCAGTGGGGCTGCATGCTGCAGCTCACCCAGGAAGCTATCATTGCCAGACTGGTGTTAGACACATAAATGCAAAGAACATGTTTTTAAGCTCATGGTGAGACCCTTCCCTCAATATCACAGATGCAGTTGGAAGCATCTGACATTTGAAGTATCTAGTGCTCTCATTGGCTGATCTCTAGGTTTAGATGGCTGAGGTTCCCATGGATTTCTAGGCTACCACTGGTATGCCTGAGAGCAAATGTGTGCTTGGCACAGAGCAAGTTCGGGATCAACAGCACTTGAGTCAAAGACGTTTTTTCTGTGGTTGTCTATCCCTGTGAGAGCTTTATGGAGAGCATCAGATACTCCAGCAGTAGTGATACAGTGTCAAAACCTGATGAGGCTATGAAGGAGACGTTTTGAAACATCAGCTAAAGATGAGCCTTAGCTGGGTGCTGAATGCGGGCAGGCCTGGAGAGATCTGTTCCCACGCCTTCCAAACTGAAATCCAATGCCTTCTTATCTGTTGAAACAACATGGAGAAGTCTGTCGACACTAATGCCGTGTAAATTGCTTGCTTAAGTTATTTGTCTGTTTTCAATTCACTTGCTGAAACCTAGAGCAGAATCACACAGGCATGAAAATAATTACACATTAGAAAAAAAGACACTGTCAATTTGAGACTGATTAAAATATTTTGTAAAACCTAAAGCAAGGGGGATTTTTGGTTTTAGCTCAATTCTGTAAGCGCTTTTTATTGATTCTAAAGAGTTTTTATTAGGAAAAAAATTTTAAAAAAAAGCTGAAGTGTTCCGACTTCTCTGTGTTTTATTTCTGGTGGCTGAAATTATGAGAAGTTTCAGTTAAACTCTGCAAATAGTTTTGCTTGGGTCAAAAGAGTATTTTTAAGGGAAGAACTTACTTTTACCCCATCTATTTGACATAAAATTGAAAAAACAATAATTTTTACTTCTTGCACCTATCTGCACTATGGAAGAGTTCCAGAAGTGTGAAGTGTTCAGGAGCTCAGAACAGCCTCAGTGCATGTTGTGCTGGGT